TTAATTGTGCAGAACGAATCAATCCAATGGTATCTGGGTGGAGATGAAAAGGAAACTGGTCAAACTGTAAGCCGGAGGAGTGTCTGTGTGTCCATGCTGGGCCCGACAGACGGCCCCTGGGGGTGACAGGATGGACACAGGGAGGTGCGCCTCACCGTGGCATATCACAGCTGGGGTTTGCTAAGATCGGCTGTAGCAGAAATGCTAAACGAAATTGGTGCCTTGAAATGTGCGGGTTCTCTCCTGGCCTGTTGGGATACTCGTTGCCATGGAGCCTGCTGGCATGGCAGCATAAAGGTTTGCCTAGAGCCCCTCTGCCTTGGTTGTGTTGGGGGGGCTGGTGTGTGAGCGTTGCCTGGACTGCGGAGGAGATGGGATCCCACATTCTCACGGCAGATGGAGACGGGCGAACACCTCTTTTTCCCCTGGGAGCTCCTAAGGCGCAGGCTGGAGTCAGGAAGCCCCCCAAGTGCCTGTCTGACGAGGCCATGATCTCAGTGCCCTCTGTGGTCCCTCGGTGCTCACCAGCTAAGCAGTGTGGGGCTGGGTCACTATGAACGGGAGCCCCACTGGCAGTGGTGGGTGCCTGGGGGTTGCCCATCTCGTGGAGTCCGTACCAAGCCCATCCCCCAGCCCTGGTGCCAACGGGTGCTGTGCTGCTGTGTCCGCTCTCGTGAGATGCAACACAGAGGCTCTGGCTAAGGGGCCACTGGAGCTCCTGTTGCACTCCGCAAGAGATGCGTGCATTCCACTCGCCTCTAGGATTAGCCCCCGGGGGTGTGGCATTCCTGTGTGCTGATAAACAGCTGCCAGTTTCCACCCCAGAGGTGGCTGCATGTTGCTAGCAGGGAAGCAGATTGCTGCATAGAGCTTGCCAAGGGTTTTGTGATCCTATGAGGGTGAAAGACACTGTGTAAATGTCGGGTGTTGTTATTCTTCTCCGTCCCTAACTCCTGTGGCCACAGCACTTGACTAGAACATCTCATTGAGGTTTGCCCAGCTCCCAGCACTCTCCTCAGCTGGGTTCTTTCCTGCCCAGGGTTAATCAGGATGTAGGCCCTGATCCCCTTAGCCCATGCAGAGTTGCTCTGGCCTGCAAGGGGCACTCTGTGGGCACAGGACTGGCATATGCTGCTGCTGCCTGACGGGAACTGAGTGCAGCCTGCTTGTTCATGGCTCTCAGCTGAGGGAAATGGGGGTGAGCAGGAAACTCAGCGGAAAAGACCAGGGCACCCTGGGTAAAGATTTGGGGGTCATGGTGCATAATCTGCTGAAATGAGCTCTGCATGCAGCGCTGTGGCCAGAAGGGCTCCTGCCATCCTGGGGTGCAGAAGTGGGGGAATCTCGAGTCGGAGCAGAGAGATTCTTTGATCTCTGCATGTGGCCCTGGTGCAGCCGTTGCTGGAATCCTGTGTCCAGTTGTGGTGTGCACAGTTCAAGAAGGATGTTGATAAATTGGAGAGGGTCAGAGAAGAGCCATGAGAATGATTAAAGGATCAGAAAACCTTGAGAGTGATAGACCCTAGGACCTCAGTCTGCTTATCTTAACAAAGAGAAGGTTCAGGGGTGACTTGACAGAGTCTGTAAGTAGCCACGTGAGGAACAAATACTTAACAATGGGCTCTTCGATCTCGCAGAGAAAGGTCTCACACAAGCCAATGGCTGGAAGTTGACACTAGACAAACTGAGACTGGAAATAAGGTGTCAGTTTTTAACGATGAGAATAATTAACCACTGGAACAATTTACCAGGGGTCCGGGGGGGTTCTCCATCACCAACCATTTTTAAATGGAGATTTGCGGCTTTTCTAAAAGATCTGCTCTAGGAGCACTAGCTGGACAGGGCTCTGGCTTGGGCTGTGCAGGGGGTCAGACTAGATGATCACACTGGTCCCTTCTGCCCTTGGTTCTAGGGATCATAGAATCATAGAATATCAGGGTTGGAAGGGACCTCAGGAGGTCATCTAGTCCAACCCCCTGCTCACAGCAGGACCAATGCCCAATTAAATCATCCCAGCCAGGGCTTTGTCAAGCCTGACCTTAAAAACTTCTAAGGAAGGAGACTCTACCACCTCCCTAGGTAACGCATTCCAGCGTTTCACCACCCTCCTAGTGAAAAAGTTTTTCCTAATATCCAACCTAAACCTCCCCCACTGCAACTTGAGACCATTACTCCTTGTCCTGTCCTCTTCTACCACTGAGAATAGTCTAGAACCATCCTCTCTGGAACCACCTCTCAGGTAGTTGAAAGCAGCTATCAAATCCCCCCTCATTCTTCTCTTCTGCAGACTAAACAATCCCAGCTCCCTCAGCCTCTCCTCATAACTCATGTGTTCCAGACCCCTAATCATTTTTGTTGCCCTTCGCTGGACTCTCTCCAATTTCTCTACATCCTTCTTGTAGTGTGGGGCCCAAAACTGGACACAGTACTCCAGATGAGGCCTCACCAATGTCGAATAGCGGGGAACGATCACGTCCCTCGATCTGCTCGCTATGCCCCTACTTATACATCCCAAAATGCCATTGGCCTTCTTGGCAACAAGGGCACACTGCTGACTCATATCCAGCTTCTCGTCCACTGTCACCCCTAGGTCCTTTTCCGCAGAACTGCTGCCTAGCCATTTGGTCCCTAGTCTGTAGCTGTGCATTGGGTTCTTCCGTCCTAAGTGCAGGACCCTGCACTTATCCTTATTGAACCTCATCAGATTTCTTTTGGCCCAATCCTCCAATTTGTCTAGGTCCCTCTGTATCCTATCCCTCCCCTCCAGCGTATCTACCACTCCTCCCAGTTTAGTATCATCCGCAAATTTGCTGAGAGTGCAATCCACACCATCCTCCAGATCATTTATGAAGATATTGAACAAAACCGGCCCCAAGACCGACCCCTGGGGCACTCCACTTGACACCGGCTGCCAACTAGACATGGAGCCATTGATCACTACCCGTTGAGCCCGACAATCTAGCCAGCTTTCTACCCACCTTATAGTGCATTCATCCAGCCCATACTTCTTTAACTTGCAGACAAGAATACTGTGGGAGACCCTGTCAAAAGTTTTGCTAAAGTCAAGAAACAATACATCCACTTGCTTTCCCTTCATCCACAGAACCAGTAATCTCATCATAGAAGGCGATTAGATTAGTCAGGCATGACCTTCCCTTTGTGAATCCATGCTGACTGTTCCTGATCACTTTCCTCTCATGTAAGTGCTTCAGGATTGATTCCTTGAGGACCTGCTCCATGATTTTTCTGGTGAAGTCCGAGCCCCGTGAGGGCAGTCAGGGGCATTTTACTAATGATGTCCATGGCCCCAGGATTTCGCCCCCCACAGGGAGCAATGTGTGAAACTACCTCAAGCGGCCATTTTTGTGGGGTCATTTTCAATCAACCAAGCAGCCTAGTGTATTCCACACGCGCCTGGGACACAGGAGAGCTGGGCTTCATTCCTGCCTCTGACCCCAGCCTGCAGGATGATTGTGAGCAATTCACTCCCCCTGTCTCTGCCTCAGTGTCCCCAGCTGTAAAATGAGGAGGATGTAGGGTGCTGAGAGCTCCGGTGCCGGTAAGCGCTGTGGAAGAACTGGCCTCTTTCCTAAAGTGACACAGACAATTCAGGGGGTTTTGTAGGGCTACCGTTGTCATGTTGCACAATGGAGCCTTGATCCTGACCAGGTCTCTGGCCGCTAACCCTATGCAAAGCCTTAATACTAACAATCTTTGGGGCTAGTCAGCCCTACTCCCTTCCCCAGTAGCTTGGCTGGCCCCGCTCAGTTTGTGTATGGTGCAAACACCAAGGAGGCAGCAGAGTCGATCGTCTGTGTTGGCCCACCAGGGTCTCACGGGGGGGGGGGAGCGGGGGCAAGGTCAGAGCTGTTTGCAACATCCCCCCGCAAAAAAAATTCTATGAAAATGAAACAAACTTTTTGGGGTCTGGGAGTGAGTGGTGGGGTTGGGTCACTGGGAAGAGCGGGTGGGCTCAGCAAACCAGAGGTGGAGAAGAGGCTGTGGAGAGGGTAGAGGCGGTGACTCCAGGGGTAACCAGAAGCTGGATTGGGTATACATGGTGCAGCACTGGGGAAGGGAGGAAACAAGCAGCCAGCCAAGGACTTGCGTTTCTAGAGGGCTGTCCAACCCCGAGCACCGGCCGCTAGCCACCTGGATCGTTCATCCAGCACTGAATTGCAGCCACCTTAGGCATGGAGCGTGGCGGCTGGGTAACAGCAGATGGGAACACTAAGCACTGGGGCAGGCAAGGAGGGCGGAGCACTGTTTTCTACAGAGGGCTCTGGGCTGCTTGCAGAGCTGGGCGAGCCACACAGCTTCCACTATGCTAGCGCCCGGAGAGCTAGGGGAACCCCTCCAAGCAGCTGGGCGAGCTGGGTCTGAGCGCCACAAGCCCGAGCCCGTAAGCTGCCACCCCCTTGCACAAGCTGTGGGGGCTGCCCTCTGGTGTGCAGACCCAGTCCTGTCTAGGCCACCTGCTGGCGCAGCTCTGAGTTCAGCCCCCCATCCTGGCCCCCACCCTAGCTCTGGGAGCCCTTCAGTCATGGATTTAGTTGGATTGTTGGTGTCGGTCCTGCCATGAGCAGGGGGTTGGACGAGATGACCTCCTGAGGTCCCTTCCAACCCTGATATTCTGTGATTGTATGGATCATCTTCCCCGGCTCCACACCAGTGGCCACAGCCTGGCTGACCACCTTGCCTTGGGTACAAAGCTCAGTTGGGGGAGCTGGTGTGGGCCCTGCCTATGCGCGGTGGGTGTCAGCAACCCCTGCTGGGTCAGCTGGCACGCGGTGCCCAGGCTGTGCCAAGTCTGGTGGACACAGTGTGCTGGTGCCCCGAAGATGGCAGGAACCCAAAGAGGCGCCATGCTGCAGAAAGGTTTTATTGGAAGGCCACAGGGCTGGCTTTGACCCAGGTGGGACGACGTCACCCGTGGGGAGAGAAGGGTGGAGAGCTGCAGCCGCCGATCTGGGGCCTAGGTGCTAAGACCCCAAGCAGGCTCAGTTGCTGGCCATGATGCTGTCGGCCCATGCACGGAGCAGGCTTACGCGGGCATAGACGCCTGGCATGGTGGTGGCACAGCGGCTGCTGCCCCAGGACACGATGCCCACTAGATGCCAGACTCCGTTCTCCTGGCAGACAAGGGGGCCGCCGGAGTCACCCTGCAAAGCAGATGGAGAGGCAGGTTCAGCCACCAGGGCTGTAGAGAGCTGGGCACCACGCCCTCCAGGGCCAGCCCCCTGCCCAGGCACCCTGCCGGGTATCCTCCCGAAGAGGGGCCCCTGCTAGCCTGGATCTCACCCTCCTGTGCCATGCTGGAAAGACCAGCCCAGGAGGACTGACAGGCGCCCTCCCCTGCCTATAGCAGAATGCCCGCCCTCGCTGCCAGAGGGACAAGGGCCCTGTCCCTGGATTGGCACATTCTCCCTGGCCTGGTACCCCCAGGACATGGGGGACCACAGCCAAGTGCACACTCTCCCCAGCTTCCTACCCCTCTGCAGCTGGCGTCTGGGCCACAGGCCCCCTCCTAGCCAAGCAGCAATGGCTGGGCCAGTCAGTGCCCTGGGCAATGCCTCGGGCAATGCCTCTATGGGCCCGTGAAACAGGCATGAGGGTCTCGCACCCCACCAGGGATCACTACGCTCTCCTCCCGGCCTGGGGAGCAGAAGACCATGGCAGGGCTCAAGCCAGGTAGCCGTGTGTGGCAAGGCCACTGGGCTAGTAGAGGCGCAGAGTGGCCAGCAGAGGGCATGAGCTCACGCAGGGGGCGGAAGAAGGCCGGCCAGCAGGGCAGCCCCAGCCCTGGGGCCGTACCATGCAGGAGGAGGAGCCTGCTGCTCCAGCACAGATCATGGAGTCCAGGATGTCACCGTTCCAGTACTTTTTACACTCCTCATTGGTCAGCAGGGGCAGCGCCGTCTGCTGCAGTTTGCTTGGGGTGCTTAAGGCTGGAAAGGGAGCGGAGAGAGGGCAGGGTCAGGGCTGCGCCCCAAGGAGCCGCCACACGCATTCCACATGACATGGTGCACGGCTTGTGTGGCTGGCATGTGCCACACGTGGGAGCTGGGTGCACTGCTGAACACACCCTATGGAATGAGTGAACTGCACAGGAGCCTCCCACAACCAGCCCGTCCTGCTACCGAGGCACGGCCCTCTGGCTCCCCAGTGGGGCTGGGCATCCCATGCTCCCTGCTGAAAGCTGGGGCAGGCAGCCCAAAAGCAGGCACAGGATTTCCAGGTCCCAGTCATTGCAGAGCCTGGAGATGCCCAAGGGCCCTGGCCCAGGTGGAGGAAAAGGCCCTTTCACCAACAATCCCCCACTTGCCCTGGCTCGCATTCCCCTGTGTGCGCACGGTGAGCTGGCCAGGTGTGCCCAAGCAGCATCCCAGCACAGCCTGGCAGCACTGGGCTCACAGGGGTTGGCCTGCCAGCTGGCCAGACAGTGCTTTGCCTGCTCTTTGGGGCTCTGGTCCATGTCCAAGGACCCCTCCCCCAGGTCTAGCTCCAGCCCTGCTCTGCCAATGCCCCAATGCACGGCTGCCTCAAGCTCTGACCTGTGGCTCCCCCAGGCCAGGCCATGAGCCCAGCATTTGGGCCGATGCCCACGGGTGGCTCTAAGTGAGCACCAGGCACATTGGGTCTCGACCAGATGCATCGCTAGAAAAGGGCCACAGCCCGGGGCCTTACCGCCTGCATAGAAGGGGCTCGGTCCAGCCCAGACTGGTGACAGGAACAGAGCTGAACTATTTCTCATGCCTCCCGCCCAGCTCCAAGGAGTGCTCTGCACACAGCAGGGGGGCAACATACCCCGATGCCAATGAGGGTGTGAACCCCGGGGAGCCGACAGCTCAGTGCTGCCGTGACAGGGGAGATGGTTGTGGGAAAACTCACATCCCACTCCACCCATGGGCGGGAAATCCGTCGCTCCCCACGCTGAATGTGCTTTGCAAACACCAGTGTGCACAGCATCGCAGCAGGGTACGTCAGCATTACTGTCCCCCACCCACAGGTGGGGAAACTGAGGCATAGGGTGGGTAACTAACCACCCTTGATCTCGCGATTCCCAGTCCTGGGCCCTACCCGCAACGTGTGTGAGTGACCCAGCTCCAGGGGCTGTTCCAGCCAAACTGGCCATTGAAGTCATCCCCAAGGCCATGCAGGCTCCTCTCACCGCAGTGCCAGGAGGACGTACCATTGTAGCGGGTCTTGCCCCAGCCAGTGGTGACGCAGCGCTGGCCACTCTGGTACTGCTCCCCGGTGGCTGCCAGGCACACTGGGGCCACAGTGCTGCCCAGCTTCACGGCCGTGGCCAGCTTGATGAGCGCGATGTCATTGTTGGTGGTGTAGGAGTTATACTGCGGGTGGGTGAAAACCTGTGGCAGAGACACGGGCCCATGGGGACAGGTCCCTGCAGCTACCCCTCCTCCATGGTGGGGGTACTCACGTGGGCCCCCTTGCCATGTGGCCCGGTACATTCAGCGAGCACTGAGACCAGCCGGCACCACCAGGCCTGGGGCAGCCTCTGCGTCAGCTCCTTAGAGCCAGCAGGCAGCATGTGGCAGGGAACCTCCCACCGCTCCCAGTGCCCGAGGCACCCAGAGTGGGCTGCTGGGAGCTGCAGTCTCAGGAGGGCTCCAGGTCCCCTGGGCGCAGGCTGCCTCAGCACACACTTCCTGTATGGCTGGAGCAGGGCAGCAGATCCCTCGGGGGCCAGGCTGTGCCCAGCAGAGAGCAGGGGAGACAGAGCTGTGGCCGGCAGAATTGGCTGGCTGTGGAGGGGACCCCCCACTGCACCCCTGCAGGGGAAGTTGCCCCAGCTGGCACAATGCCCCCAGGCCTGGAGCAGATATGCTCACACAGGAGTTCCCAGCTGTGCCCCATCTCACCCCTGGAGAGCTCAGCCCACAGAGCGGGGCTGCACAGAGGCAGCGAGCAGACAGCAACCCTGGGTGCTCATGGCACCCCACCACAGGGTTGTGCCCAGAGACTCAGTGTCTGTGCCTGGCTCCCCCTCCTGCCGTGGGTCAGCACTGGGCGAGCGCTCACCCACCTGCTGGATGGCCAGTTTCTGCACTTTCTCTTGGGAGGAGCTGCGGTCGTGTTCCCCGAGCACCACCACGTTGGATTTCCTGGGGCCGGAAGAGAGGGCAGTTAGTGTCCAGGGAGAGCTGAGATCACCCGCAGCGAAGGGCGATGTGTGGGGCACTGTGGGATGGGGAACTAGCAGCCATTGGGCCCATGAGCTGCAGCTGGTGCATTTGGCCATGCAGCGGGGGTTCCTGCCTGCCTGTGGCTAGAGGGTGAGGAGCCCCGGTGGGCCAGCCTCTATTCCACCTTAGTCCCGAGGTGTGCCGGGGATATCAGTTGGCGGCTCCTTCACGGGGCCGTGAGCTCGGGCGTATACTTGGCGCGGTTCACCCCAATCCCGGACACCTGCCTCTTTTGCGGTGTGAGGGAAACCCTGGCGCACGTCTATCTGGAGTGCGCCAGGTTGCAGCCCCTATTCTGGCTCCTCACGAATATTTTGTTAAGGTTTTGGTTGCACTTTTCCCCTCACCTCCTGGTCAACCTCCTCCTGGCTAAAGTGGCCATCTATAAAACCAGGGTGAGGAGGTTGGCCGATAGAGTCTCCTGCGACTGCGGGACCTATTTCCGATCCTCTGTCTGTTCACGCCTCCGGGCAGAGTTCCTCTGGGCGGCGTCCATTGACTCCCTTGATGCCTTTGAGGAGCGGTGGGCACTGTCCGGGGTTCTCTGCTTGGTGTCCCCGTCCGGTTCCCTTCGTTTGACCCTTTGACCGCACTCCCGTCCCTGTTGTTCATTAGTTGTCCCCCGTAATTATTTGGTTTCCCAGGTCCTGTGGATCTCCCCCTTAGGCTGAGGGGGGATCCTTTAGCAGTGGGCGAGCTTCGCCCGCCCACTTCCTGGATCCCAATAAGGCTAGCGCCCAGGTGCACCCGGGGCTGTTCATCAGTGCAGAGGCAGCCTTCCCCTGTGCACAGCGGGGCAGCAACCTGGCTGGACCAGGCACGGTTTTCCCCTTGGCGTAGTTGATGGGGTAGCCCATGCAGCCTGGCATGTTGGGGGCAGCCCAGCATCACAGGGTGGGGGGCTGAAACAACCATCTGGGCGCTAGGTGTGATCTCGAAGGGCAAGGGGAGGTGACATCTCCACGGCTGGGACTGGAGCCTGGCCCTGGGCTAGCAGCACCCTGCTGCCCCACCGCCCCCTTCAGGCGACACCAGACAGGCCGCTAAGCCATATCCCTGATCTGTCCCCCCCCGCAGCCCATCCCCAGGGTGGTCCCCACTCACGTCACTCCGCAGTGTGCAGCTGTCACCACCCAACGCTTGCTGACCAGGGAGCCGCCACAGAAGTGCCTGCTGTTCGTCTTCGACTGCTGCAATTGCCAACCGGGGGAGACTGTAAGGCCCTAGAGATGCCTGTCCCAAGGTATCACCAGCAAGGGCCAAATCACACTGAAAACAATTGCAGTGCCCAGCTCAGGCATGGCCCTGGGCAGCTAGGAGGGCACCTTTCCTTGGCCTCAGCCACGAGCTCCCTACAGCCTCCCAGGGACTGAACCTGGCACTTCTGCTTCTATTAGCAGGAGCCACTACTGCCAGAGCTACATGGGCATGTGCTTGCCCTGGGCAGCCACAGGCTCATAACCCCCCTGGAGCGCCCCATTGGGTGGGCGTGGGACAGCCCAAGAGCCACCCTTCCCACGAGCCCATCCCCAGTGTCTGGGCTGCAGGAGTCCGGCCTCTGGGAGCTGAAATGGGGAAGATGGGCTTGTGAAATGGGGGCGGGGCTTGGCGATGGGGCAGATCCATGGGGGCAGAGCCAAGCGAGGAAAGCGTTTGGGTCACTGCTGGGGAGAGGGGGGAGGGGCATAAAGGGAGTCGCCAGGGTCCCGGCACCGATAGGGAGACTTCCCCACCCTCCTTACTTGCAGGGAGACCTGCCAGGGCCAGGATCCGGGAACCGCCTCCTCGCCATTCACAATGCGAGCGTAGCCACTGATGATGGGCTGGATTTCCTGCACACCACAGCCTGGAAGGGAAAGTGGGTCAGCCTGGGTCTCCACCCGCTTCCCACTGGCACCCTGAGGCTGCAGCGCCAGCTAACCAGAAACAGCTCCAGCCCGTCTCCCTCCTGCAGCCTGGCGAGAGCATGGGCAGTGACTGGCAAAATGACTGCCAGAGCCGGGCCCAAAAGGGGACATCCGTTACATGGAGGAGTCTGAGCCTGGGGAACTTTCTGATTCACAATGAAAACCCAGAGACCCTGTCTGGGAGTCATGGCCCTGGGGCAGCCTGCCTGGCACCCTGCAGCGTCACCGACCCCCGTGGCACCCGGGCATTTAGTTTATATACACACAGCGATGGGGTCTAATTTAGCTGGTCTACTCATGGAGGAGATCTTGGAGTCACGGTGGAGAGTTCTCTGAAAACAGTCACTCACTGTGCAGCGGCCGCCAAAAAAGCGAATGGAATGTCGGGAATCATCAAGAAAGGGAGAGATCATGAGACAGAAAATACCCCGTTGCCTCTGTATAAAGCCGTGGGGCGCCCACACCTTGGATACTGCGCACAGTTCCGGTCGCCCCGTCTCAAAAGAAATATAGTAGAGGTGGAAGAGGTGCAGAGAAGGGCAACAAAAATGGTGTGGGGTCTGGAACAGCTTCCGTATGAGGCAAGGTTAAAACGTCTGGGCCTTTCCAGCTTGGGAAACCAGATGGCTGGGGTCAGGGGGAGATGCGAGAGGTCTATAAAATCATGACTGGGGAGAAGAAAGTGAACAGGGAAGGGTTATTTACCCCTTCACTTCACACATGAACCAGGGGTCACACAGTGAAATTAAGAGGCAGCAGGTTTAAAACAATGAAAGGAAGTATTTCTTCACACAACACACAGTCAACCTGAGGAACTCCTTGTCAGGGGATGCTGTGAAGGCCAAAATTATAACAGGGTCCCAAAAAGAACTATATGAGTTCATGGAGGACAGGTCCATCGATGGCTATTAGCCTGGATAGGCAGGGATGCAACCCCATGCTCTGCTGGCTAGAAGCTGGGGGCGGGCCAACAGGGCGTGGATCATTTGATAATTGCCCAGTCCTGTTCATTCCCTGTAAAGTGCCTGGCCCGGCCACTGTCGGAAGACAGGATACTGGGCTAGCTGGACATAAGAACGGCCGTCTGACTTAGTATGGCCATTCTTATGTGGCAAATCTCACCCGATCAGAATGGCAGCATTCCCCAACCCTACCAGGCTCAGGTGTCAGTGACGACACGGGGGCCCAGGCCAGGGAGGGTGAGAGCTGCTGGTCAATGCCCTAGGCCGGACGGGTGCAGCTAGGCATATAAAGGCTGTTTACAGCAAGAACCTTGTATTTATACCCTGCTTTGCACGCCTGAAAGCAGCTGAGCCACTTTCCCACCAGGCAGAGGCCAAACCTAGGCTATTCCAGCTGCCCAGCATGAGCTTCAGAGAGTTACTGCACACAACTGCAGGCAGGCGGTGAGAGCGGCAACCTTATCTACAGCACTCATTGCCACTGTTACAGCTGGCACTGCACATCGCTTGGCCTGCTGCTGAAATGCAGCCAGCTCTGGTGTGGAATGTAGCAGTTGCTTAACAGCCCACAGCAACACCCCCTCACACACACAACATTTTAGAGACAGCACTGAAGACTACTGTCTCTCTTAATCACACAGAGGGGCACTGAAGGAGGCACAAAGTAACTAGCCAAACAAACCTGGTCTGGCAACTGGTACAGCATTTTGGCTGCTGGCAAGTGCAATAGCGGCACCCTGAGACTCCCCTCATGTGCAGATTCAGGACTCAAGGGCTCTTACTCAAATGAGATCAAAGTCCTTTACAAAGAAGATCAAGATCATGGCTGCTCTGTGGCTGCCCCATTTTACAGAGGGGAAACTGAGGCACAGAGCAGGGAAGTGATATGTCCAAAGTCACCCAGCAACACAGTGGAGAATAGAACACAGATCTCCTTGGTCCTAATCCAGTGCCCTGTCCACCAGGCCACACTGCCTCCCAGCTGATGCAGCTAAAGGGGATTCCTGGACACAGCCAACCCCTGGGTGTCTCGCTAGCTCCCAGCCTGACCCCCACAATCTGCGCTGCTGTGTCCTCACACAGGGTCTCCAGAACCCAGATGAGGCTGTCACCTAATGGATTATGCAGCCCAAGCAGAGAAGGGCCTGCCTGGCTTACCATGAGCCGCGCCGAGGAGTGCCAGGCAGGAGAGCAGCCACAGAGCAGCCATGCTAGCGACAAGGCTGAGGCATGTGGATGGGGCAGACAAAGCTGCAGGTCTTTTATCTCCAGCACCAGTGGGGGTTGGAGTAGGGCCAACGAGGGGGTTAGCGGCCATGGGAACACCTGCTGCAGGGCAAACACGCCGCCCCACCACCACCTCTGTGATACCACGATTGATTACTGTATTGGCAGGAGTTGGGAGCACGTTTTTTGTGAGGCGGATGTATTTTTAGAAGCAGGGCAACTTGTTTGCTTTCCAGGCTGGCTCCTGTGGCAAATGGAGGGGTTAGTCGCAGTCAGGGAGGGCGATGGACCTGGCCTGTTTCCAGGAGGAAAATGGGCTTTTCCTCTGCATTGGTATGAGACACTCTGCATGTGCCCTGCTGGCAGCTCAGTGCAAAAGGGGAACCAGAGCCAGGGGTTAGTACATCCTCCCCACATTCTGCTCCCCCGCTGCCATTCCATCGAGCATCACGATCAGCCGCTTCTGGGGCCCAGGCAGGGCCCGGACTCATCTGGGTGAGCAGGGCTCTCACTGCAGGAAGCTAGACACCCCAACCTGCGCCTGGAGAGAAGGGGGGGTCGGGCCAAGGAACCCTCTTGCATTCTGTTTACAGAACTGCCGCTCTAGTGGGCTGCATTGCACGGGGGTGCCAGTGGGCAGTGTACCCCCCCAACACCCTCTGACAGGGGCAGGCCTGGGCCAGCCTCAGGGACCTTTTGGGGAGCTCTGCCCAGCCTTCATAGCGCCCAGGAGGGGAAATGGTGCCAGTTGGTATCACAGCCCCGGCCAGCAAGGTCAGTTCTGCGGGTCTAGGCCAGGATGCCGATGCCCCAGGACTGTGGCTCAGGCCCGTCCCTGATGAGGGGCATTTGGAGGAGGGGAGCTCTCCTTCTTTCCACGCCAAAGGTCGCCATCTCCAGCAACACCCTTCCATAGCTGGTGGCACCTCTGTCACCCCAGGCCCTCCCTGCTCCCTGTCCCTGGGTCACCAATTTACCAGGGCTGACCCCACTGCTCTCGGAAGCAGCTGCCTTTCCCAGCCTTATCGAGTGTGCAGTGCACACCTGCGGTCCACAGGCAACAGGGATGAGATACCGCTCCTGGCCTTCACACCAACACCTGCCTCCCTGCACGGTGCTTCTCATGCCCAGCGGGCTTCTCAGCGGGCCTGACGCAACAGCTCCCTGCCAGCGGGACGGAGCCGGCAGCCCTCAGGCCCAGCCTGGAAAAGAGGGGCTATCCAGACATGCTCCCTCCCAGCCTTCGATGGGGCAGCATGGCCAAGCAGCCATGGGCACCGCCCAGACTTCGCAGACTCGGGCTCTGTCCCTGCTCAGCCACACACCTGCTGCATGGCCCAGGGCAGTCCCTTCCCTTTGCTGGGTCTCCCATTTCCCTCCCACCCTTCGCTTTGTCTAGTGAGACCCTTAACGCTTTCAGCTCTCAGTGCATCTGGCCTGCACTCAGCACAATGGGGCCTCACCTTGATCCGGGCAAGATTCTACTGTAGGCTAAACTGACTATGCTAGCAGGTACCAGACCACGCCACTTACACACTCTGTTCCTGGCTCATCGGCACCCTGCATGCAGGCCCCTAGGCTGGGGGCATGCGGGAGGAGTCATTTTACCAAAGGCTGCAGGGGGTTTTCCTATCCTGAAATAGCTGGGTGATCTCAGAGGGTGACGCTATGGCAGCTTTCTGGGGCAGAGACTGGTTTTTTGTTCTGTGTCTGTACAGAACCTAGCACAACAGGGCCATGGGCTGGGCTCCTAGGTGCTACCGTAATACAGGTAATTAATGTACAGCACTTAGCGTGATGGGGTCCTGGGCCATGGCTGGGCTCCTAGGAAATACACCTAATAAATAATGTACAGCACCCAGCACAGCGGGTGCCTGGCTCATGGCTGAGCTCCTAGGCGCTACCGTAATACAGGTAATAAATAATATTAGCAATAATAAATGGTCCATCCTAAAGTATTTTCCCTTCTTGCAAACTATCCCGCTGCAAAGGACAGATAGGAAGACTAGTAAAATGCCATGGAGCTCTTGTTGCCCTTGTTGCCAAGAAGGTCAATGGCATTTTGGGATGTATACGTAAGGGCATTGCCAGCAGATCAAGGGACGTGATCATTCCCCTCTATTCGACATTGGTGAGGCCTCATCTGGAGTACTGTGTCCAGTTTTGGGCCCCACACTACAAGAAGGAGGTGGAAAAATTGGAAAGAGTCCAGTGGAGGGCAACAAAAATGATTAGGGGACTGGAACACATGAGTTATGAGGAGAGGCTGAGGGAACTGGGGATGTTTAGTCTACGGAAGAGAAGAATGAGGGGGGATTTGATAGCTGCTTTCAACTACCTGAAAGGGGGTTCCAAAGAGGATGGCTCTAGACTGTTCTCAATGGTAGCAGATGACAGAACGAGGAGTAATGGTCTCAAGTTGCAGTGGGGGAGGTTTAGATTGGATATTAGGAAAAACATTTTCACTAAGAGGGTGGTGAAACACTGGAATGCGTTACCTAGGGAGGTGGTGGAATCTCCTTCCTTAGAGGTTTTTAAGGTCAGGCTTGACAAAGCCCTGGCTGGGATGATTTAACTGGGAATTGGTCCTGCTTCGAGCAGGGGGTTGGACTAGATGACCTTCTGGGGTCCCTTCCAACCCTGATATTCTATGATTCTATGATTCTATGATTCTCTTTAATGACCTGAGGAGAAAAGGAATTCTACAGAAAGTGGGAACAAGGACCAATTGCTGGCTGAAAGGCTGTATTCAAAGAGTAGTTATCAATGGTTTGCTGCCAAACTGGGCCGGTGTATCTTATAGTCCTGCAGGAGTCAGTCCTGGGTCCGGTACTAGTCAGTCTTTTCATTAGTAACTCGGACAATGGAATGGAGAGTATGTTTATAAAATTTGCAGGTGACATCACGTGGAGAGGGGTCACAAGCACGCTGGAGGACAGGATTAGAATTCAAAACGACCTCAACAAGTCAGAGAATTGGTCTGAAATCACCAAGATGAAACTCAATAAAAACAAATGCAAAGTACTACACTTAGGACAAAAAAGAATCCAATGCATCACTACACAGTGGGGAATAACTGGCTATATGGCGGTGCTGCTGAAAAGGCTCTGGGGTTCTAGTGGATCACAAATTGAATAGGAGGCAGCAGTGTGATGCAGTTGCAAAACAGCCAAATCTGGTTCTGGGGTGTCTTACCAGGAGTATCGTATGTATGGCACGGGAGGTCATTGTCTCACTTGGCACTGTGGGGAGGCCTCAGCGGGATATTGGGTGCCGTTCCGGGTACCACACTTTGGCAAAGATGTGAACAAATTGGAGCGAGTCCAGAAGAGAGCAACAAAAATGATCCAAACCTGCCCTGTGAGGAAAGGATAAAACCACCTGGGCATGTTTAGTCTTGAGAAAAGATGACGGAAGATGGGGACTGGATAACAGTCTTCAGATCTGTTATGGGCTGTAACAAAGAGGACAGTGATCAATGATTCTCCATGGCCACTGAAGGCAGGCGAAGACGTAATGGGCTTAATCTGCAGCAAGGGCGATGTAGGTCAGATGTTAGGGAAACCTTTCCAACTCTCAGGGTAGTTCAGCTCTGGACCAGGCTTCCCAGGGGGGCTGTGGAATCCCCGCCACTGGAGGTTTTTAAGATCAGGTGGGACAAACACCCATCCGGGCTGGTCTAGGTTGGTTCTGCCTTGGCACAGAGGCACTAATGTTCTCTCAAGGTTCCTCACAGCCCTACATTTCTATGAATGTATGACCCAGGGCAGTCACGGTCCCTCTCTGGGCCTCAGTTTCCCCACCCACCCTTTGTGTTTTCTATTTAGGTTGTTAACTCTTCAGGGCAGAGACCCTATCTCTCTTACCCCTCTTGAGCTCTGTGTTCAGCCCCTAGTGCAGTGCCCCGGCCTTGGTCAGGGTAGCTGGATTCTAAATTAACAATGCTAATAGTAACCATGGGTACATCACTTGGCTCTCAGTTCCTGGACAATGGCCCTGTGTGCTTTCCCCAGGTCAAAGGGATGCAGGAGGAGGCATTTTACCAAAGGCTGGATAATAAAGAACAATAATAACTAGTCCATCCCCAAGATTTTTCCCTCCTCACTGGACAACTGGCTCAAGCCTTTTGGCACTGGCATAAAAAGACTCTATTTGTTTGTAATAGACATTCGTGCCAGGGGACTTCACTGGATATTTGGCAAAACAGTTGCAAAGAAACAATTTTTCAGGCACTTAATCTCCAAAAAAAGGAACTCCCAGAGTCTTCCTTGCTGCACCTTTGGGGGAGAACTTGTCCCTACTGAGATGTTTGGTTTAAAAAAAAAGCTTCTTTCCAAGGCTCTGATGGGGGCAGCAAGCAGGACTAAAATGGGAGGGTCCCTCTGCCCAGCCCAGCTGGCCTGAGAAGCAGTGTATTTCAGAGGAGCTGAGAGTGCTGTTGACTGTCCAAAAAACAAACCCCACAAACTGGGCCAAGGGTCCTGAACCCTGCCCCAGAGATGCTAAGAGACAATGAGATGACCCTGCATGCATCATCGGATAACAGCTGCCCTGGGGCTCTAGGACTTAACACCTGATGCTAAGATGGGCCTGGGAGGTGCCTAGCCTCTGCCCAGCGTGGCAGGGAAAGGAGGGGCATTCTGAGTCAGAGCAATGAGGAGAGGCAGAGGCAATCTAGAAAAGGAGTACTTGTGGCACCTTAGAGACTAACCAATTTATTTGAGCATGAGCTTTCGTGAGCTACAGCTCACTTCATCAGATGTATACCGTGGAAACTGCAGCAGACTTTATATACACACAGAGAATATGAAACAATACCTCCTCCCACCCCACTGTCCTGCTGGTAATAGCTTATCTAAAGTGATCATCAGGTGGGCCATTTCCAGCACAAATCCAGGTTTTCTCACCCTCCACCCCCCCACACAAATTCACTCTCCTGCTGGTGCTAGCCCATCCAAAGTGACAACTCTTTACATAATCAAG